GCAAGGATGCTTTAAAGATGGCTTTTACCAGGTGTCACAGCTAATTGCCCAAAAGAAGAAGAGATGCTGTCCGAGAAAATTAAGTTACAACAGAATGCCTGCAGCTACGCTAATAACCACCAAGATCACAGTGACACAGAGAAACTAGTTTCAGCTACTTCTGGGAATTTCCAGAAGTTTTCTGTTTGAAGAACTATCCCAAAACATTAACACACCCTTTCTTTCCATTATGATTGGTTGGTTGCTGTTGCTAGCGGGGAGAAATGGGTTTAAGCGGTAGCTGAAAAAGCCACTTCCGCCCTGCAAAGGAGGTGGTGTTGCGCGATTGGGGGAATCCCCAGCTGCGTCACCCCCTGGCCAGCCAATCGGCTGGCTCTGGGGGCGTGGCCTACCCTATTTAACGGAGGAGCGGCCGGGGATTTCCCTCTTTTGCAGCCTCCAGCTGCTCCTGTTTCCCACCCTCCCGCCCTTTATGGTTTTCATTCCTTGACCTTGCTATGGACCTTGGTAGGTCGCCATTGAGGGGCCTGGTAGGAATTTTTCCACTTGGCAAATAGGCACCAGCCACTTGGTTTTTGCCTACCTCATAGCAAATCATCACAACTTTCTTCGCATTGGTGGTTAGGCATTGGTATTGTTCTGTAGATGGAAGAGGGGAGGAAGCGCCATCACCTGCCCCGAATATTGAAGGGTAGCCTGATAAAGGATTCTGGGGGCCGTGGTCCTGTCCGAAGCTTATGGAGCTGAGGGCCTAAGGCACGCCCCCGAGTGGTGACCCCCGGGGGAGTTCCTAGTTGATGTGCATCAGCAGGACTCCCCCTAGTGGTGGTTAACCCTTCCTGGACTTCAAGCGGATGGGCTGAAGTTGGATATAGACGGTTAGGACCAAAGCCTAAGCCAATACCGCTCATCACCTGTAACCAATAAAGTTGTGGCCTTATTTAGCCCATTAACCTTAATAATTGTGTCATGTGTCATTATTTCCACTGGGGGGGGGGAACTCGCCACGCAAAGGAACAAACACAGGGTGCTGAAGTGGGATAATTTTGCATTCACATAGTTCTTTGAAGATACTCCAAGAATTATAAAATGGCTTCAGACAATCCCTAAAGCTAGCTAGCAAAGAAGATCGCAGAATCATAGAGTTGAAGAGTTGGAAGGGAGCTTGAGGATCATCTAGTCCAATCCCCAGCAATGCAGGAATATGCAGCTGTCCCATACTAGGATCGAACCTGCAACCTTGACATTATGAGCACCATGCTGTAACAAACTGAGCTATCCAGCCAACACAGATCTTTGGAAGATTTGCCACCTGCATTCATAGAATGATAGAACTGTGGAGTTGGGAAGGACCCAAAGGGTTCCGTCGCCTGCCGTACAGGAATCATAGCTAAAAAGATTGTGATGGTATATTTTTAAACTCTCAGTTATAATAATAATAATTTATTATTTATACCCCACCCATCTGGCTGGGTTTCCCCAGCCACTCTGGGCGGCTACCAACAGAATATTAAAATACGATAGTCTATTAAACATTAAAAACTTCCCTAAACAGGGCTGCCTTCAGATGTCTTCTAAAAGTCTGGTAGTTGTTTTTCTCTTTGACATCTGGTGGGAGGGCATTCCACAGGGCGGGTGCCACTACCGAGAAGGCCCTCTGCCTGGTTCCCTGTAACTTGGCTTCTCGCAGCAAGGGAACCACCAGAAGGCCATTGGGCACTGGACCTCAGTGTCTGGGCTGGGTGATGGAGGTGAAGACGCTCCTTCAGGTATACTGGACCGAGGCCGTTTAGGGCTTAAAGGTCAACACCAACACTTTGAATTATGCTCAGAAACGTACTGGGAGCCAGTGTAGATCTTTCAAGACTGGTGTTATGTGGTCTTGGCGGCCGCTCCCAGTCACCAGTCTAGCTGCCGCATTCTGGATTAGTTGTAGTTTCCAGTCACCTTCAAAGGTAGCCCCACATAGAGCACATTGCAGTAGTTCAAGCAAGAGATAACCAGAGCATGCACCACTCTGGCAAGAAAGTCCGCGGGCAGGTAGGGTCTCAGCCTGTGTACCAGATGGAGCTAATAAACAGCTGCCCTGCACACAGAATTGACCTGTGCCTCCATGGACAGCTGTGAGTCCAAAATGACTCCCAGGCTGCGTACCTGGTCCTTCAGGGGCACAGTTACCCCATTCAGGACCAGGGAGTCCTCCACACCAGCCCACCCCCTGTCCCCCAAGAACAGTACTTCCGTCTTGTCAGGATTCAACCTCAATCTGTTAGCTGCCATCCATCCTCCAGCCACCTCCAGACACTTAACTGGTGTAGCAGGGTAAAATGGGTTCTTAACCTGAAACTGTTCTTAACCTGAAGCTAATGGGGCCTCCTGCTGCCGCCGCGCCGCCGGAGCCCGATTTCTGTTCTCATCCCGAAGCAAAGTTCTTAACCTGAAGCACTATTTCTGGGTTAGCAGAGTCTGTAACCTGAAGCGTATGTAACCTGAAGCGTATGTAACCCGAGATACCACTGTATTAGATTTCTCACCCAGTGGCGGAGGAAGCCTCTCTGGCACCTGGGGTGGCGCGAACCGCCCATAGGGAGGGATGGACGGGGGGATGGAACCCATTTCCGCCTCCTTCCTGTCCTCTCCCCTGCCTGCCTGCATGCCTGCTTACTTCAGCCAAGAGCGTGGAGTAACAGTGCGCCACCCCCCGCAACTCCCGACCCAGGTGAGGGTGTGTGCTCCGCCGTGGTGGCCAGGCCGAGGGCACGATCTGGCATAGCAGCACTGCCAGGGGGTGCAGTCTGGCACGGCCACAATAGGGGCCCGGTCAAGATTTTGTCACCCCCACTCAGAGATGACATCCAGGGCAGGCTGCACCCACCTTGCTCCACCTCTGTTCTTACCTGCCTTTCATCACCAGGTATGGGGAAAGCTATGAGCCTAATCTGGCACACCAGGCTTCTTAATCTGCCACAAAAGGTAAAGGCAAAGGGATCCATGAACATTAGGTCTCGTCGTGACCAACTCTGGGGTTGCGGTGCTCATCTCGCTTTACTGGCCGAGGGAGCCGGCGTACAGCTTCCGGGTCATGTGGCCAGCATGACTAAGCCGCTTCTGGAGAACCAGAGCAGCACACAGAAACGCCGTTTACCTTCCCGCCCGAGTGGTACCTATTTATCTACTTGCACTTTGACGTGCTTTCGAACTGCTAGGTTGGCAGGAGCAGGGACCGAGCAACGGGAGCTCACCCCATCACGGGGATTTGAACTGCTGACCTTCTGATCGGCAAGTCCTAGTCTCTGTGGTTTAACCCACAGCGCCACACGTGTCCCTAATCTGCCACAAGCACTCTCCTTAAGGCACCTGCTTTCTCCCTCGGCCATGCCCCTCCCCCACTTGTCCTGTTTGGTAGTGACCTAGCCAGGAAAGAAGAGACGTCTCCATCCTTTGCCAGTTTGCTTTGGCCTTTTCCCACTGCCTACTTTGGGCCCATCTTTTCCCTGCCCAGTAATTAGATATTCTGAGCAAAAAACATTCCCTGCCTCTCACTGTTAAAATTACACTGGCAATACATCATTCACACACAAATCTACTTTTGCCCTCTGTCACCTCTGGGGTTGTCGGCAGAACTCCAAAAGAATTTGAAAAGTAAGAAGAGAAGTGGCAAAATGAGATTGAGAAAATGATGGTGAGCATCACCAGTGTGCCTTGAAGGGATGGGGAAGGAGATAATTCCTTATTTTCTGTAGCTGGCAGGTTTCTCCATCTTTTACAAAAATATTTTAGATCTGCTAGTTCTACCCGCTGTCTACCTGCCCCCCACTTTCCCCTTTCTTTTCTTTCTGCAAATCTCTGCTTTCTGTGCCCTTGAATTCTGGATTTCTCTCGCTTCAGTAGATGTAAATTTAAAAAATAAATATTTTGTTTGCAGGAACTCTTACAAGAGGAAAGAAAGGCGGGAAGAAATTGGGGCAGTTTGTGTATTCATGAGCTGAAATCAGTCAAGCAAATATTACTGGCTTGCCTTCACATAGCTGTTGTTTTTAAAAACTCTTTTCCTGCTGTTTCCCCCAGGGGAAGCCCCTCTTTAGCCCTCAATTGGAGCAAACAGCAATTCAGGCTTTCTCTGGGTTGACGTTTCCTCCGATTTAGCACTAAAGAGCAGGCTTTCCCTGGGAAAGGAGAGGAGCAAGGATAAAACCGCTCAGAGCCATCCTTTCTAGGCATGGGACAAGTCGAAGTGTGGGTGCTCCCTTTGTCCACAAACAATACACAGTTAATGACTTTTTGAAACAATGTTTTGATGCTTCCATTCCATTGAAAGGAATGTTACAGTTGGGATGGAAATTGTTGCCTTCTTACATCCCTGGCCGCTTCTGGTTTGGCAACTGAACTAAAAGCAAGACTGTACGTATTTTTCGCTCTATAAGATGCACTTTTTTCCTCCTAAAAAGTAAGGGGAAATGTCTGTGCGTCTTATGGAGCGAATGTGTGGTCGATCACTGGCTCCCTTTTGGCCCCACCCCCTTGCCCAGCCCTCCATTGTTGAATGTTCTGAAGAACTGTTTGTTTCCCCAGCGACATGTGACTGGCTGATTAGAATATCTGTCTGGAAACTGTAGAAACGGCTCCCTTTCCTTTCCTAAAGAAGCTGCAGAACTGTGAGTTGAACCCCATAAAAACAGGATGTTTTTCCCTTTGCAAAGTAAGCTCAACAACTTTGAGCTGTTCTCAGAAACTGGGGCTTTCCCCCTTTGCAAAAGAAGCTGCACAACTGTGAGCTGATCCTCAAAAAATGGGGCTTTCCCCCTTTCCTTCTCTAAAAACTAGGTGTGTCATATGGTCTGATGCATCTTATGGAGCGAAAAATACGGTACATCACAAACAGCCATTTCTCTTTCGTACCACATCTGAACCTTAACATAAAACCCCCTGTGCCTCCCAGCCCTACAAACCTCTAGGACACTGGGGCCCCCCCAGCCTCCTAAATAAATATTGTGATTTACTTTTTCAAAAAGGACTCGCTCTGTCATCAGATCCTCCTTCTTCCTCGAGAGCCAGCGTTCGCACGGAAACAGGAACAATTCTTCTGTGTTGTCATTCAGGATCTCTATTTTCTCTAGGTACCAATCTGGCCTTGGGTTCGTGTTGTCATGCCGAATGTTGATTTTGAAGACAGCACCGAGGTCCACGGCTTGGATTGAGAATATGTCTTCCTGGGGAGAATGGAATGGGAAAAGGAGCCATTCTTCAAGGTTCTGTTTGTTATGCAAGCAGAAAAGTGCAGAGTGGCTAAGATCCAAGGAGTCTGAGACTTAAGCCCTGGCCTTTTTGCACTCAAACCGTGACTCCATGAGACCTGTATTTAATGTGTATCATGAGGGTATGTAACTTGTGTTTCCTTAACTACCGTATTTTTCGCTCCACAAGATGCACTTTTCCCCTCCTAAAAAGTAAGGGGAAATGTGTGTGCGTCTTATGGAGCGAATGCAGGCGGGAGGCTCTGCTCAGCGCTCCCTTTAAAGAGCCGAGTGGAGCGTGTGTGCGGCACTTGAGGGCTTTTCCCCAAGGAGGGAGAAGGGCAGCCCGTCAGTCCCTTTTCCCTCCTCGGGGAAAAGCCCCCAAGAGCCGCACACATGCTCCGCACACTCTTGGGGACTTTTGGGATTCAGAATATTTTTTTCTTGTTTCCCTCCTCCAAAAACTAGGTGCGTCTTATGGTCTGGTGTGTCTTATAGAGCAAAAATATGGTAATTGAAGATCAGGGTGTGTGTGTAATTTTTTGCTGGGAAAGCCGTGTGCAGGGACAGAGTTTTTCCTTTACTTTCTAGAAGCGCAAAAGCTGTACTTCTCTCTTATCAAGACGTTTGATGAAGAATACTCAGTTTTATCGATACCTGTCCTCTTTCGAACTTGTTCATGTTCGTTTCAGAGCTGCTGAGTTGTCTCTCCCCTGTGTCTCCCAGGTCTCCATATATCGTCAAGAACACGCTGGCATCCGTCCCAGCGCCGAAAATATCGCCGGTGAAAACGCTAATCTTGTACGTATGGACTGGGCAAAGTGGGAGGGAGAAGACCACATTTTAATGTAGGCTTTCAGAGCACTGACTTCAATGACCAGATGAGCAACGTTCAACTGATCCTAGCTTGCAATCACTTATGAATGAACAAAGGAAGCTAGTTTGTAGCAGGTTAGGCCCTTGGCCCATCTAACCTTGCAATACAATTTGGCATCCGTTCCCCACAAGGTCTCAAGGAAATTTGTTTTCCAACCCCACAACCAGACACCTTTCTATGGGAGATACTGAGGGTTGAACCCAGGACATTTCATGCACAAAGCAGGTGATCTACCACTGAGTTAGAAGGTGGCTAAGAAAAATACCCATTTCTCTAACTCAGTATTAAGCTCTTTGTAAGTGTTCTGGAAGAGACGGACATGAGCGAGGTGAGTTTTTGTTGGAAAAAGCAAGGCTTGTTCAGCTATAGGCACCAGGCACGTGTCAGCTGCCTTCTTTCAATGCTCTCCAAGTTCCAGCAACATTCCTGCAGAGTGCTAGAAAGAAATCTAAGACATAATGGATTTTGAAAGCATTTTATTTAGTCTAGCACTCCTTCCCTCCCTCCTTCTCTCTTTTTTAAAAAGGGCTTGCTTGAAAGAAACAAGATGAAACATAAAGGAAAATTAACTGCTCCAAAAGGGGCACTTGAGGGAAAACGGAAAATCATCAATGAAGAGGATACTATTATGAACGCTCATTATTCAATATTTGATTTGGCTTTAACGCAGCTTGTAAGCACTTGTTTACACTGTCATTCATTCTGAGACAGCAACCTCTCCCCTCCCCTTAAGACAGTCTTTTATTTACCATATTTTCAAGATCATGGGTTGAATCTAAGACTATGGGGCTGCTGCACACACAATGCAGCCACAAACACAAACTTACCATGAGACTAAAGGCTCATGCACACATGCCTTATGCCCTGTGCTAGGAACAGTCTGCACTTTAAAGTGCTCCCCCCTTTTTTTTCTTTGCCCCGGCACTTTCCCCACAAAAACCCACTCTTTAATGCAGAATCAGAACAAATGGCAGTTCGTGTTTTCTGCAGATTGCTCTTTGCCCCGATTCAGCAGTAAAGGGTAGGTTTCCTCAGCGAAAGGGCCAGGGCGAAGGGGAAAAAGTGCTCTGAGATGGCGCTTTAAAGCACAGACCTGTCCCTAGAAACACAGCACAGTGGAATGAGGCAGCAGAATCCTGAGCTGGCCTGGATTATACCACTTTGGACAACATGGATTGCATTTTTTGAGTACTCCCATTTAAAAAATCCCTGCAAAGAGTACACGTAGCTGCAATAATTACATATTATTCTGGTCTATCCCCACCTCCAATTCCATCTCCCTTCCCCTCCCCTTATTCCTATTTTGTAGATCAGAGGTTCCCAAACTTATTTGGCCAACCACCCACTTTTCAGGGGGGGAATACTCAGAGCCCTCCCCCCCCGAAATCTACCTTCTTTAAGTGAAGTGTCGGGGTTGGCCAAAGAGGCAGGCAAGCTGGGATCCACTTCCTGGATCTGGGTGATGCTGAAAAGGGTTCCCGCAAGCCTGGGGAATCCCCTCATCTCCAGCAGGACCGCCAGATCCAGGGGAGCCACTGTCTCACAATAGCACCTGACCTGGTGATAAGCATCCTTACACAACAGAACCAATGTTTCTCCCCCAAAATTTTTCTTCTCTTCTCTTCTTTCTTTATGCTTCCACTGCCCGCTTATTTTTATTCAATGTGCCCCAATTGCACTCAAGGCTACTACCACCACCCCCCCCGGATCGTTCCAGCACCCCCCAGGGGGTGATATTACCCACTTTGGTAAAACATCACATTCTAGATTGTAAGTGCTTTGAGGCAAAGACCCACCCTCTTATTCTTTGCAAAATACCATGTTCACTACACATATAAATACATGTCATAGGTAAATTATACTGAATTAGCACAGCGGGGAGTGGGTTGATCTAGAGTAGGGGCTGCCAGACTCTGGTCTGGTGGGATTTGACTCACTTTCCAGCGGATCATCAATTAGTTCATCAATCTGCTTGAGCGTCCCATCTTTCAACAGTTTTTCAGTAAAGACTCTGGATGGAACCAGCTCCCTCATAATCTCGCCATCATCTTCAGAGGTGGCCAGCCACTTCTCACAAGGAAACGTTGTTTTTTCAGAACCCTAATGTGGCAGTTGAGGGGTGGGGAATAGCAGAGCGCAACAAACATAAGTAGTGGAACAATGTATGTAGATACCAGGTCAGCAACCCAAATATTTGAGAAATAAATTTATGTCAGGGTTCAGCCCTACCCAGACATCTTCAGGACATAAGAAGAGTCCTTCTGAATCAGGCAAGTGGCCCATCTAGTCCAGCATTCTGTTCTCACAGTGGTCCACCAGATGCCCGTGGAAAACCCTGAGCACAAGAGCATCTCTTCCCTCCTGTTGTTGCCAGCAACTGGTATTCAAATCTGAGGTCTCCTCAGATGAGGAACAAGGAGAGCAGGACCCTCCCCACACTTCCTACAACCCCATCAGGTTTGAATTGGAGGTCCCCACACCAACTCTCTCAGACCACCACCCCTGATCTCAGCCAGGACCACAGGAGCAGAGGAGACCATGAAGCAGCCAGGAAGTTCAGAGCCACCAATGAAGGGCCCAACTAGCTGTGAATTTGGGAGGATGGAGAAGCGCATAGGAGCACGTGCTGAAATCTGGGCTGGGCTAAGAGCCAGGAAGGGGTGAAGCCTTCAGTTCCCAGGCTGATGTGCTGGGTTGCTGATGCAACAGGTCTCTATCCATCCTGACCTAGGGGAACCCACTCATCAAAACAGGGATGGAGAGACTTTATTCAGACTGAGGACCGCTTTCCATTCTGGGCCACTTTGCAGAGGCCACCTGCCAGTGGTGGGTGGGGTGAGAGGCACCTACAGGACTGCCTCTCCTGGTACGTCCCACAGAGGAACTTACGGTCTTCAAACAAAAACATCCTGAAGGTCCCACGCCACAGTGAGGTTAGGCTGGCCTCAACCAGAGCCAGGGCTTTTTCAGCTGTGGCTCCAATCTGGTGGAACGCTCTGTCACAAGAGACTAGGGCCCTGTGGGACTTGATATCTTTCCGCAGGGCCTGCAAGACAGAGCTGTTCCACCAGGCCTTTGGTCAGGGCACAGCCTGACTCCCTCCTTTGGCAATCTTCACAGAACTTTAGCCTAATGGTTGCCATCAATTTGAGTTGAATTAATTTTAATGAAATGATTTTAGAATGTTGTATTATTTTATTGTTGTTAGCCGCCCTGAGCCCGGCTTCGGCTGGGGAGGGCGGGATATAAATAAAAATTATTATTATTATTATTATTATTATTATTATTATTATTATTATTCCTTTGTGCAGTAGCCTGGTTTCTGGGCTCTCACATCTCTGTCCAGGCAAGCAAGTGGCACTGTCACCTTTCAAGGACGCATTCCAGGCAGGCGGAAACACTCAAGGAAGGTGTGAAGCAGTCCTAGTGAAGAACATGACTTGGGGAGCATCACATGAGGATCAGGGGTGGGGCTAGAGAGGAGGTGTGGCCTAGAGAGAGTCCCCAAGGCCCAATAGAGAGGCACAAGGATGGCACTGTGTCAACAGCACTCCAAAAAGGCACCTGCAACCAGCGCCCAATGCACATTATCAATGTACATTTTTCTTTGGTCTGTAGATGCCAGAGACCAATCTATGAACTTTCTGCATGCAAACTCCACCACTGAGTTACATCTGAAGGCCAAATGAGACAGGGTATAATGCAAGGCGGGGGGTTATTGTTTTTAAAAAATGCAAATGTAAGTAAACACCATTCATGGGGGAATCCCACATTGCAATGCCAGCTTCAGAGGAAGGGTTTTCCTTGGGACTGCATTTTCCCTCCCCAATGCAGTGATCCGGATAATCATCAATATACCTTCCCCTCCTCCAGCCGATGCTGTTTGCATAACAAAACAACCTGCACCTTTTAATACGAAGAGCTACTTTGACATTAATGTCACGCCTAGTTTGTTCTCCCCGGAAAAAGCTCTTTGCTCTCAGCTGTCGGTCAGTTCTCCAGTGCCCTGTGAGCTCACGGAGAGCAGCCACAATATATAAATAAAATGTAGCATATAAAGTCACATTTTGCAACGGAGGAGCCTATCCTCACCCCCTGTGCTGTCAGAACCTCCTCACTGCTGTCTGTCGGTTCTCCCTGCCCTTCCTCTCTGCACAACCAGATAACTGAGATCCCACTGAAACGCTCCGATTTGCTTGCCCCCACCTGCCCCAATACTCAGAACAGCAGATGAAATATAATTGTGAAATTTAACTGGCACATGTTGCTGTGGCTTTAGCCCTCTGCAGCGAAGTCAGCTTGTCCTGCCCAAATGCTTTTCAATTTAATCTGACCTCATTTCCCCCCCTCGCCGCGCACAGATACGCGGAGAGGCTTCTTAGCAGTCTAATCAGGTAGCAGGGCTTTTAGCGGCTTGGCAGCCTATTGCTATCCTGTGGCAGGCCGTAATATCCTGCGGCGGATGATGGCACGATCATGCAGCACTCGGCTCTTTCCTTCCTCCTATTCCTCCTCCTCCTCTCCCCCTTCCCCTCTCCACGTGCCCAAATCTAAAAGCTCAGCAAGAATATGTGTGGCTGCTCAGACGCATCACCGTGCCTTGCTACTACATCCCCTCCAGGCATTCTCATTAACAAGGTTTCGTCAAGGGCTGGTTATGGCTACAGAAAAAAGGAAAAGGGAAAAAAACGAGGAGGAAGGGGAGGAAGCAATGGGCACAAGCAGCCAGTCGCTGTCTGCAGGGAGCTATCCAGAGTGCTGATTCCGATCAACGCAAGCCAGGCAAAGGATTTTGACTGGCTATTTCACATCAAAACAGAAAGATCCATTATACAGTGGTACCTCGGGTTACATACGCTTCAGGTTACAGACTCCGCTAACCCAGAAATAGTACCTCGGGTTAAGAACTTTGCTTCAGGATGAGAACAGAAATCGTGCTCCAGTGGCGCAGCAGCAGTGGGGGGTCCCATTAGCTAAAGTGGTGCTTCAGGTTAAGAACAGTTTCAGGTTAAGAACGGACCTCCGGAACGAATTAAGTACTTAACCCAAGGTACCACTGTGTGTGGGGTTTTGTGTCAGCGTCGCTTGTGCAGGTTCTCTGCTATTCACTTGTGTCCACCCCCAATAACCTTCCCCCCCCTCCACCTCTTTCTAATGTCTCAACAAATGAAACTGATCTCTAAGAAATGTTACTGGGGGGGGGGGAGAGAGAGAGAGAGAGAGAGAGAGAGAGAGAGAGAGAGAGAGAGATATTGCACATACTTTTGTAAACCAAGAAAATCTTTAATAAAACAGAAAGATCCAGCCGTTCCTCTGCATTCTCGCCTGAAAACAGCACCTCTGGTCTCTAGGCCCTATTTCCACCCAAGCCACTCCTCCTCCTGCTGTCCTCAGCACCTGACTTCTCCTGCCCCTTCGATCCCCTTTGCCGTCTTCCCAGAGCATCCTTTAGCTCCTCGCTGCTTCTCCACCCACAATCCGTTCTGCCCATTTCCATCCAGCTACTGCCTTGCCTGCTTCTCAGCTGCCCTGCCTCTCCTTTGGTCTTTCCACCAGGCGTCCTGCCCCACAGGCTCATGACAGCAGGGAAAAGGGGAGCCAGGAAGGAGGCACATGAGGGAGGGACGGAGGCAGGGGTCCAACCTGCCGAGTGCAGACCAAAGCCACTTAAGAGACAGCTGCCGGTGGCTGCCAGCTTCCTCCCCAGCATGGAGAGGAAGGCTTCCTTTGTTCCTAGATGTGGCTGGATTTTGAAGAGCGTGCGCCGTTAGCACAGGAGCACCAGAAGCTAACGGCGCATAATGTGCACCAGCGAGAGCTCATTAGTTTCAGGGAGGGGGAAGCAGAGAAGCTGCTGCAGTTATCTAAGAGTCCCTTGAGGATATTGCCTGCTCTCTTCCATCCTTCAAGGCAGCTCTCTGCTTCCCTGCTCGGTGTCGTCTCGTGATATAACGATACATCAAGACATTAGGAGGCAAATCCTGGGTTCAGTGCTTGGTTTGTAAGACTGACGTTTGGGGAGTGGGCTGGCTGGGAAGAAATGGCAGCGGGGGGCAGGGAGTGATGAACTATTCCCTTGCACAGCAGTTTCTGCTATTTTTTTTATCCATTTTTTGGGTGGGGAGAGGTCCAGTCAGGTTTCAAGATTGTAAAGAAACCTGATTTGGAGGGCAGACTCAGGATGACCTGAAGGGCATTTGCAGGTGGACATTGGCAGCTGTCACTCTGCTTTAGCCTGTTAATTCAGTGTTTCCCAACCGGTGTTCCGCGGCACACTACTGTGCCGCGAGACGTTGCCTGGTGTGCCGTGGGAGGGAGGCGGGCGAGTCGCACGGCGTCTCGGCGTCGGGCGGCAGCGAGCCCAGGAAGCGGCCCAGCCAGCCGGGGTCGCCCGCCTGCAGCAGCGCCTCGCACCCGCACGAGACCTGCTCCGCCGAGAAGCGGGCGAGCGCGGAGGATCGGGCGCGGCGGAGGCCAGCCCTGCGCTTGGAGAGGACGCAGCAGCCGTCGCCAAACCCGATCCTCCTCCTCCTGCTCCGCCGCCGTCCTCTGGCTCTCGGCCGGGAGGAGCCTGCGGCGACGGGGCGGGCGCCGAAGTTGGCAGAAGTTGGCGCGCCTCCTCGGCAGCGCCTTCGTCCTCCTCCTCCTGCCTCTGCTCTCCTCCGGCGGCGGGGGCGCGCCGCCCTCCCCGGCCAGGGGGCTCGGCGGGGCCCGCGGGGAAGGAGGCCATGTTCGCGGCGCGCGGGATCGCGGCCCCCCTCGCCCGCCTCCGGCCCGCTCCCCTCCCCCTGCGCGCTGCCCTAGCCGTGCGGGTCTCCTCCCCCTGCGCCGACGTCCCCTTTCCACATCCTAGGAGCCGCGGTCCGCCTACCGCCCCCGGGCCGCGGCGCGGCTCCCAGCCCGGGCTGGCCTCCGCCTCCTGGGACGCGCGCCCACCCCCGCGGCCCCCCAAACTTCGGAGCAACTCTCCAGACGCTTCTCCCCCGCCTTGGTCTCCCTCCTTTCCACTTCTCTTCCCCCCTTCCTTCCCTCTTTCTTTCTCTTTCTCTCCCACCCGCCTTTCCTTCTATTAACTTTCCTTTCCCCTCCCTTCGTCCTTC